AGGCCGGGGCTGCGGGGCCTGTGGGCGGCCTCCCCGGGGGCCTTTGTGAGGGGGGTGGCGAGGCGGGGGTGACCCAGTTCCGCGCCCCCGGCTCTCCTGAGCGCCCCCCGCCGGCACCTCGGCGCCTGGGCACTCGGGCTCCGGCCGGCGTGGCTTCCGCGTCGGGGTGCGCGCCCCAGTTTCTCCTGGGGGGCGGCCGGGGTGCGAGGAGCTGCTGCTGCTGCTGCTGCTGCTAGCCGGGAGGCCCCGCCTCCTGGGCGACCCTGCTCAGCGCACCCCCCCTCCACACACACACACACACACACACACACGCCCTCAGTGCAGGCTCTCGAACCCCGGGGTCCCGGGTTCCCGCAAAATTCGGCCAGAAGACGCGGACCTGGAGTCCCCAGGCCGTCTCGGGGGACTCCCATCGGCTTCCCTTCCTCCGGGAGCCCTGAGTGCGGCCGGAATGTGGGGAGTTGCGGGAGGCTCAGAGGCTGCAGTTGGAGCTGCTCGGGGCTCCTTTTTATTTATTTATTTATTTATTTTTTTAATCTGGCACTTACTTCCTCCTTGTTGGAGCAGGGCTCGGCCTGGCGGTCCCCAGAAAGGCCAGTTCTGTGGTCTGATTTCGAACGCCCTTCTTTTGGCGCTTCTGGGGGACAGGGGCTGCCGTTTTAGCTTTTTTTTGATAAGTTGGAGGTCTGTACTAGTAGCCGAGTGAGGCTGCTGAGTGGCGGTTTTTGCTTCTCACTCGGTTACTCCCCCCCTAACCTTGAGAGAGGTTTTGCTTTGAAACTTTGTATTAGGGTTTGGCCGCTTGCCTCCGTGTATCTTACCGTGAAAGTTGTTCCGTACGAAGTTAAGTAGCATTCGAGACCGTGAGCTTTTATTTTTGCTAATGTGGCGGCAAAAGGCTACCTTTTGAGTTTTGTCAAGCCTCTTTAGTTCCTCATTCTGATAGCGGCCCTCCCCTAGCTTCTCTGGTGAGATAAAGCTATGAGAAATGGGCGGGAGGGGTATTTTGGAATTACCTATCGATCAGTAAACAGAAAGTGAATATTCTTGATGAACTTGATTCCGCAGACATTTTATTCACTAAACAGGGTCATATCTTGTGAGATTTAGGATTAATGTAGCTGTCTGCTGCTCGTTTTGCTTCCTAGTCTTCAAGTGTTGGGCTGTCTTTCTATCTGATAAGCAACCTTTGGGTTTTGTTTTTTTGGCTTGTTCCTGGCTCAAGCTTTACCTCTTCTGCTTCAAATCTACTTGCTTTGATCGTTCTCTGGGATGTATAAAGAAACCTTGTTAGGGTATTTATGAAGCTTTTGT